TCACAAGAAGAAAACAGAAAGCATGAGTGTAGTTGAAATTCTTTAAGCTCTCAAACTTTGCTCCCAGTGGCATATCTCCTCCAGCAAAGCCACATCCCAAACCTCCCCAAGCAGAACCAGCAACTGAGAACCAAATATTCAGATGTCACTTGTCATTTAAACCAGCCATGTGGGGTAGGGGTCAGCGAGGCAGATCCATGGATGAGGTTTGTCTCTTCTCCTATCAATCTCAGTTTGCACCTAGAATGTTAAGGCCTCGTTTAGATGGATGGCATGCAGACTTGGAAATGCTAGACCTTGAGTGCTAGTGAGTAGTGCATGGGGTTAGTCTCATTGAAGTATAGTTAAACTGTGAGAAAGCCTTCAGTTTCCTTGCTTGTGAACTCGTTGTTTGTATTTTCTCTTTTAACTGAGATTGTTTGCTCTGCCCTAAACACTTTTATAAATAGAAGAACCGTGCTGCTCTGATTCTGAGTACATCTCTTAGCAGCTGTTAACCACAGTGGTAAAAGACTTTGTCTGTCCTGTAGCATCTCTTTCTATTCTCGTAATGGCTAATGAGCTGAGAAGGTAGAGAAATAGTGGTTCAGAGTACCCACTGCCCTTGCAGATGATGGGAATTCAGTTGCCTCCTGTACATAAATGGTTCACATCTGCAGCTAGCACCACCTCTAAGAAATCGACTGCCCTCTTCTGGACTCTGTGGGTAACTGCACTCATGTGTATTCTATAGACACACATAATTTAAAGATAAAATCTTTTAAAGATAAGGTGGAGAAAAACGTGAACTGTGTGCAGTTAACCAACCTCAGACTTACACCAGGCACCAGAGGCATTCCCGGATCCTGCTGGCTTTGCATGGGCAGTGCACAGCGCCCTAACCCTGACCTTACAGAATTGGATAGGCCTTACAACTGGCAGTACTGTGCATTTTAAATCAGATCTTCTGGAGTATGAATCTCATGCTTTTATCTGTTCTCTAGTTGGAGTAAATTCTGTTGAATTATATTAAACTTGAAAAGCAGTAACAGCAAACCAAGAGGGAACCCTTATTTTCTGATCTGTTTGAAATGATGTGTATTTTTTTTCTGTGCATGTGGTAAGCCCTCACAATTTTTTTTCAGAGTGTGTAGCAGTCACTGGATGTCTTTTGTGTGCCAGGCGCCTTACAAGGCCCTTACATATTGGCATTATTGTGTAATGAATTATGAATGAGCCTTCAGGTTTCCTGGTCAGATCCTGTGCGTGTGTATTCCTGAGTGCAGGGGCCCTCAGAGGCCAGTAGATCCCAAGAGCTAGTTATCAGTGTTTGTAAGCCACCTAGTGTGGGCACTGGGAATAGAAGTCGGGTCTAATGCAATAGCAGTGAGGGCTCTTAACTACTGAGACATTTCTCCAGTCCCCATTGTTTTTAATTTTATATGAAGTCTTTGATTATTTGTTATGTATGCCAAATCCATATATAAATATAAGAACTTATGCCAGTTTCCAAATACTTGCTGCACCTGGCTTTATATGTTGAGGACATTTTTTTTTTTGTGTCTATTTGTGGCTTCTCTGAGGTTGTAACAGTTTTTAGAAGCCATCTGCAATGTGTCTTCTTTTTCTTCTGTATATAGACACCCTTGTCAAAATGCTGTCTGCTGAAAGTGGAGGAAAAGCATTAGACACTGGTGAAGGCCAAGGCTTTCTTTTCTGCAGGCTCTCGGGAGCCCTTGGCCTGAGCACGCAGCTGTCTGCCTTGTACCCCCCACGTCTTCATCTATATAAGGGAGCACACAGACAGGCTGCTTCTCTGTAGAGGGAGGGGGCCTTATAGGACAGATACCCAATACAGTGCAAGTTTCTGGTCATGCTGTCAGTACCTGGAAGGTGATAGCTATTGTTTTGGATTTTAAGGACATTAAAGGAAGTCTATGTTTCAGTTCTTTAGTAATTTTCCATCTGCCTTGTTACTCTGAGAAATTGTATCTCCATATAAAATTAAATAGTTTGGAGAAAAGTATTCATAAATGTTACAGTTATAGGTAGCCAGCAGTGAGCTATACATAAAGTATTTATTTATGTTGTTTTCAAATTCTCAGTGTAATCACATCTCTGCTCATATTTACTGATTTTACTACATACATTTTGTTATTATTTCTCCTGGGAAAAACTATACAGACCAATTTCTTCAGACAACTTTAGAATAGTTGTGGGCACTTAAAGGCAGAGACAGATAAATCATCTCTACTCCATGTGAATAAAGCTGGTACTGCTTACTAGAAACATTGAGAAAGAGGAGGGATGTGTCCCCAGCATCTGTGCCACTCACATAGAAACCTGTAGATAGACTATTCCTCGTCAGCTGCTGCTGAGGCACAAAGAAAGACTCCCCAAAGAGCTGCAAGGGCTGACAGCCTGGGGTACAGTTGCTACACTGGTACCAGGCACAAGGGGTAACAGCCTGGGGTACACTTGCTACACAGATGCCAGGCACAAGGGCTGACAGGAAACTGTTAAAGATCACAACCAAGTTAGAGGGGCGTCTTTGGTATTGCTGGCAGTTACTCAAAGAAGTCTTGATACTATCAGAAGAGGTTTAGGTTGAAGAGTTCTGGCTAGGAAAGCCCTTGGTGGCTTTTTATGACCAGTGTGCATACAAAAAGAGCCTTTTTGTGGCCAGATATAGTGGTGCATGCCTTTAATCCCAAACTCTAGAGGCCTAAACTGGTGGGATTCTGTGAGTTTAAGGCCACCCTGGTAGTGATACGGCAAAACAACAACAACAACACAGTCTGGAAAATAAAAAAGAAGTACAGTGAGCACTTTTGAACATGTGTTTAAAAGCGAACCCTGAAGTGACCCTCAGAAGAGCCAATTCAGGGAAGGTCAAAAATAGCCAATGTTTTTGCCATGTCACTACTACCTGCTTTGGTAGGATAATCATTGAGTAAGGAACATTATTGCGTTTATCTTTGTATAAACAAAAATATACTACAAAGAGCAAAACTTCTGGGGGTGTAGTTGAGTGGTAGAGCGCTTGCCTGGCATGTATGTATGCATCTACTCCACACGCTTTATTATAAAAAGGAAGGCAGCAACATGGGAGCTAGGGAAGGAGCAAAACTAAACTCTTAGTGTTACCACATGCCTGCTACCTGGGTTTTTAGCAAGCTTCTGTAGTTTTTCTGCCTACCCTAAACTGGGCAAGTTATCCTAGTGGGACTTAATGTAATTGCAGATTAAAAGTGCTCTAAAAGTACAGGCTTTTCGGTAGTAACTTGAAAAATGGTAGTAGTTGAAAGCACGGGATTCAGGCTTACCTACTGTTGCATCCTTAGTTTTCATATTTCCATAGTCTACGTATCTGACATGCAGTAAATGGCCAGGAAATGTTCATTCAGTGAGATGTGTGTGAATAGATGCAAGAGGAAATCGTTGCCTTCTTTGTTTGTTCTCTAAGCACAGCCTTCCCACACTGTTGTCTTGCCTTCTGCACTTTGCAGTCTCACACTTCAAAGTCATGGTAACAGTATGTGCTGGTCCTTCCAAATGATGCTCGGTTATATCCAGCTGTTCTGGAGACTCAGTAAGGTTGACCTTTCAGGGTACTTAACCTACTGTATTACAGTAATGATGTTAAAGGACTTAGTGTTGACATTTGTATCCATCGTTTCATTTGATTTCAAAGCAATATTTTTAAAACGGCTTTATATAACTACGTAGAGAACAGACTCTTGGTGGAATCAGTGTTGACTCTGCACCTTGGATTGTCTCCAGAACAAGGACTTCTTGCTGGTTGGCTTCTGTCCTGGCTTCGCTTGGGATCATTGCAGAGCAGGCACTTAAAGAGTTGTTGCATGGGATGATGAAAGCAGCTTTCTAAAATCATAGAATTGTTCAGAAGACTAAACATTATATTAGAGAGGTTGCCAAACAGATTTTGAGTCTCACTTTAGGCAACATTAAAAAGGACTCAAATAGGACCCTCGGATTCAAATTTGAGCAATGCAGCCAAAATATGTTTCACAGAACTCTCTACTTCTCTTACAAGATGTGTAAAAATTATTTCCTGGCCAGCTACTAAAATTGAGTATAATATAAATTGAGAAAATATCTTTTGGAATTACCAGATCAATTTAATACCTGCTTTTTTTTTTAACTTTTTCACTTTAAATGAAAACTGTACATTAAAACATTGTACCCATTCAATCCTAGATTTTTTAATTTCTAGAGAAAAATGATAACAGGGAGCTGAATGTGAATATGGAGAAATGAACAAGACTTAGTTAACAACTATAGCAAGTTGCAATTGTAAAGTCCCCTATAGTCAGTGTTGCAGAAGCAGTCATTGTGGCTTACAAAACAAGTGTCATTAATGGGCCCAACTGTGACTACAATGACAGATAGATTACCAAGAAACAGAATAGTTTACATAGACCTGTCTTAAAAGATGTGTTAGTAATTGTGCCCATAATTGGGTTGATTTGAAAACAATCTGCAGAATGAAAGCTGATAATGGAACATTTTCACTTTTCTCCTCCAAGAAATCCTATATAAATACTCTCTAAATTTCTTTTTATTCTTAGAAAAATGAATAATTGTAGAAATTTATGTTTTTTAGTTTTGAGTTATATATAATAATGAGCATGGTGGTAAGTAATATTTTATTAGAATTTTTCACTGTTCCATTTACAGGGTTTTTGATATAAATTTCTCAGCAGCAAAGCTAAAGGTAGCCATACAAAAGGCAACAGATAGTCAAGCATCTAAGACTAATTTATGTTGCAAGGGCCCAGGACTGTGTTGTACCTCTTCCTGTATCACTCCCTGCAGCTAGTGCTGGCATGTTAGGTTGTAGCTGAAGTGCACGCATCCAGAGGGCATTTGAGGAAGACCTCTTCTCAGGACAACTTTTGTCAACCCATCTGGATTATTGCATCACTTGCTTTGGCTCTCAGTTATTTTCTTACGTTCACCACATAAGTAGTACTGAATCCCTTTTCCCTTTCATTTAGTGATTTCCAGTAACTACCAGACCTGTCTCGGCCTTCTGATGCACTATCCGCTCATCGGGGACATACACTCACTGATCCTTAAGGCTCTGTTCCTTAGAGACCCAAAGGTAAGCATTCTTGGGGAAAATGTGTATAATTTTAAGTTGTGTGAAGACTGTTAGAAGTTGTAAGCCAGAGTTCACACATCTCATTGGCCAGCATGTTAGCAAGTGAATTCATTGGACATGGTCCTGAGACACTACACCCAGTCAGTGCCCATGTTCCTCAGCAGATCATCTTCACCTGTCTTCACCAACTGCCTTCTTATTAGCTTAAGGAAATACTTACACAACCGCTTCTTACAGCCAGGCTTCCCTACCTTTGACCCCCTCATCGGGGATGACTCACTCAAGTAGAGCTCCTGGGCCACATGAAGATCAGAAGAGAAGAGCAGAACTAAGGACTCTTCCTAGAAGAACTGATCACTAAGCGAGTGCTGAAGTGCGTGTGTTTGTGTGCGTGTGCATGCGTGTCTGTGTGTGTGTGTGTATGTATGTGTGTGTGCGTGCGCTTCTGTGTGTGCATGTGCTTCTGTGTGTGTGTGTGTGTGTGTGTGTGCATGCACACACGCACATGCGCATACGCTGGTGTGATCCTACTTTATAGCTAAAAGTAACCTAATAAAAATTCAGACAGACTTTAAAACTGATTTCTCTATTTGACTGTAAAGCAATTCATCAAAATTTTCTTCATAGTTCACAGAAAAAAAAAGTGTGGTCTTTTACAACTAATGTTACATGTCTTGAAAATAAGAACATTTAATGATCTAAAAAATTTTGTGAATCCTTGCTGTTTTTGAGCCAAACAAAAATATTGGATGGAGAGTAAGAGAGAAAGCTTCAAATGCAAGTATCAGAATGCCAAACACTGGGTGGTAATCCCAGCCTTTGGCTCTTTGGAAACTCTCCCAACAGTCTTGTTGGCAGTTGTCAAACTGTCTCTGAGTCAGTCAGTCTGTCTGTGAGTTCTGTTGCCAAAGCTCTGTCTGTTCGTCTTGAGTGTCCAAGTTTAATAGCAATCTGAGTCTAAAGGACTTTTTTACCTCTCTGTGGTTGCTGACATTAGCTTATCTTTGAGTATATTTCCTATTATATGACTTAGAATTTTCCTTATGCTTTTTATACAAATACTAACCTTTATAGAATTTCTATTATACAAAAGCAATTTTATTAAGCAACAAAATACAATCTGATTTCTTTGCATAAGAAAGTATCCATTTTTAGATGTAGCTTATGAATACCACTATTTGTATTTTGTATTTCTGCTTCTATCTATACATGTATATGTAAGTCATATGTACTCTGTAAGTAAAACCACACAGGACTATCACTAGTAGAGGTTGCAGAGATGAAGTTGCTAACCCATGAAGAGTTTTGGTCTGTAGGGTTAAAGCGCATTCTGTCAGCTCAGCATTAGGAATTCTTAGGGCTAGAAAGTGAGAGATTAGCTAAATTTCAACTTCCTAATTGTTTTTTAAATAATATTTTTGTTAATTCTTTGGTAATTTCGTAAATACATTTTACACATATTTGCCTTCTTCCCCAGACTCCTCCCAGGTCTATCTTCATCTCCCTACTCGCCAAGCATTATGTCCTATTTTGGTTGTAAATCCATCTGTCCATCTGTGCTGCCCAGGAACTCTTGCATATAATGATGTTTCCTGGAGTATGGTCAGCCTACCAGGCTTCACACCCATGAGAACCGACTTCCTTTCCCAGCAGTTACCAGTTGCCAATAGCACCTCAGCGCAGATGGGGCTTCTTGCTCACCCACTCCATGTGAGGGCTCTGTCTAGCTGGGGCTTGTGCAGGGCCTGTGCGTGCTGTTGAACTGCTGTGAGTTCATATGTGCACCTGGGCTGCCGTGTCTGGAAAACACTGCTTTGCTGTCGGCATCCTCCACTGCTGGCCCCTTTCTGCCCCCAGCCCCTATTCTCCTATGATCCCTGAGCCCTAGAGAAGGGAGTGAGATATAAATACCCCATTTAGGGTTAGGCCCTCCTCAGTCTCTTACTTGTTGACTTATTGTGGGTGTGCATGTATCTTAGGGTTTCTATTGCTATGATAAAATACAGTTACAAAGCAAACAATTTGAGGAGGAAAGGGTTTATTTGGCTTACATTTTCATGTTGCTGTTCATTATTGAAGGAAGTCAGGATCCTGGAGGCAGGAACTGATGCAGAAGCCAGGGAGGGGTGCTGCTTACTGGTTTGCTCAGCCTGCGCTGTTACAGATAAAACCCAGGACCCAAGGATGCCCAAGCATGGCATCACTCACCATGGGCTGGGCCCTCCCACATTCATCACTAATTAAGAAAATACTTTCCATCTGGATCTCATGGAGGCATCTCCTCATCCGAGGCTCCTTCCTCTCTGATGACTCTAGCTTGTGTCAAGTTGACATAAAACCAGCCAGTTCACCACGTTAATCACCATCTACAGCAGGAAGAAACTTCTCAGATGAGTTGAGAATGAGTATGTCAATGTCATTAGTAATCCATTTAATACCATATGTATTTAACAGAATAATAGAAGTATGATCTCTCTTGGGTTCTAAGTCCTATCTAGTATAAGATATCTCAATTTTTTTTCTCAAGTCAGGGTTTTTGTGTATCCCTAGCTGTCCTAGAACTCATTCTGTAGTCTCCAGGTGTTACTCTAACCAGCCTGCCTTTGTATATGACTTGATCTTTCTCTCTTATACCTTGTAAATCCTTTCTTTGTCCTATGAAGTTAATATTTTGATTGTTATATTTCAGGTTCTTTTTTCTTGCTTTTTTGTATAGCTTCTTATACATTGGTAGACATTGTTTTGAGAAATTTTCTTCTATGATTTTCTTGAAAATATTTTCTATGCCTTTGACTTGTGTCTCTTCTTTTTCTATAGCTATGATTCATATGAGTTTGTTCTTTTTATAGTGTCCCAAGGTTCCTCCACATTCTGTTCCCAGTGGTTTTTCCAGATACACCATTTTCTTAAACTGATTTATGCATTTTCTTAACCCTGTCTTCAAACCATCACACTCTTTGTCCTTTATTTCACTGGATCCATTCTATTGGTGAAGATTTCTGCTTATTTCACTGAGTTAATATTTTCATTCCCAGTTTTCATTTCAGATTAGCTTTTCTTCAGGAATTCTGTTTCTTTATTAAATTCTATTTTCATGACCTCTTAACTTTATTTCATTCACTGTTCATGTTTTGTAGTCTTCACTCTAGTATTTATGCATATCTTCTTTTGAGTTCCTTAAACAAAATTATAATTGTCATTTTAAAATCAATATGTTTTGTGTCAACTAAGTTGCTTTATTCAAGAAACATTATAATGAAGGTGCTAATTTCTGGAGGAGGCATTGTCTTGGTTATTCATGTTGTTTTTCTTTGGAGGATGAGACATCTGGAGTTGAGTCATTGGTAATGATTTTTGGTATAGATATTTGGTTTTACCTTTGTTGGGTTGTTTGATTTTGTTTGCTGGTATCGTAGCTTGTCAGGGTGTGGAGCAGATGAATGGTACTTGGGGTTCAGTCTTGGGGTAACTCTTGTTTTGATGTGCAGATGGGAGGTCAGAAGTGGTCCCAGTTCAACTAGGGATTGGTGCAACTCCTGAGCCTAGAACCATCTTTAGCATTAGAAGATTCTCACAGCTGACCCTCAGAAGTCTGAGGAGGGCTCACTGGTTTCTGCAGGTTGTTCTTGGATGGCAGGGGCTGGGGTCACCATGACAATGTATCATCTCCCTAGAGGCAGGGCGTAGGATATTTCACCATCTTGAAGAGGAGGTGGCTGGGAGTTCTTTCTGGGGCGACATGACTGGTGTGAAATTGAGCCTGAGTTCCCTATTTTATATGATTGGCTTAATGAAGAAAGAAATGAATATTGTATCATAACTTAGCAATTTTAGTTATTTTCCCTAGGTTAAAATAGTGATCTTTTTAGCAATCGCTCACCCAATTGCAGAATTCTTTATCCTAAATCCATCAGTGCTTATTAATGGAATCTAACTTCTCTTTCATGTTATATGATTTTTGTAGTATATGATTTCAGCAGTATATAATGAAACAAATTATACAGCATTGAAAACTAAAATTCAGATTTTAGGAGAAAAGTAATAAAATTAATATCTTTCAAAGGGGAACTACTCATCTCTACATTCAGAGTCTTATCAATAACGCCATATTCAAAGGTGGGACCATAACTGGTGTTTCTGAGCCTTAAGATGCTGGGCCTGAAAAGGACACTCTGTTTGCAGACTCCCATGAACAAGCTGGTTTCCGGAATGTTTATATCTCTAGGGAAAATAAAGAAAGCTGTTTACTCATAAGGGCTTTTATGATGGCTGTCAAAGCAAGGTGTGGTTGCAATTGATTATTCATAAACATCACCCTAAATTTCAGTGGAGGTCATTTCCACCCTGACAATGTAGCATTCTGACTGGAATCTGCATTAGAAATTAGTAAATAGATGGAGCTTAGTAATTTGGAACCATAATGTTTATTGAGTTTTGATATTTTTTGTAACATTTAGAAGCTGAATAAAATTCTCTCTGATGACCCACTCAACTAGATGATCATTTGCCTATAAAGAACTGATTTCTAATGGATTAGCATAACCCATCCCTGGGCTACTAAGACAAAAGTGAAAGAACCTGATAATCTGTACTTTATAGAAACCACAAGAGCACAGTTTTCAGGCCATGACTATCAATTAGAGTAACAAAAGAGGCCATTTTTGCTAAGGGGAAAATGAGAAGAAAAGTATAGCTAATGCCTCTACCCTCGTCTCCAAAACTCCAGACATGAGAATGCTCTAAAAAAATTAATAGTAATAATGAAACACTTACAAGTGGTTGTCATTCCTGGGTCAAGTAGAGGAGAGTAAGATGCAAACGCAGTGAGGTCAGCTGGCAGTAGAGGGGAGACTGAAGCGTGAAGTGTGCTTCTCTGTTCTAACGCACGTCACAGCAGCGCATCTGTTGACAGATGCTAGGAAATCCGCAAAGACATCCTCAGTGATGCATTGCCTACCTTCAGGAAAACACTTTGTCCTGTGGTCATCCTTAAATTTCCT